TGGTCATCAATCCCAGCACCTACACCCAGAACGATTATTGCGTTCTCATGGAGGCCAATGCTGTGTTCTATGCCACCTTTGTTGCTCCAGTGCTTATCTTCTTTATGGTAAGCTCACAAAAAGATCCTGTTAATCTGTGCGGAAAAACCCAATCATTACACCCAAATAAACGTCTTAGGCTGCCATTGGATACACCTTCCTCTCCTGGATTATCATGTGCCGCAAGAGTCGCACCGGATTGAAGACCAAAGAGCACACACGCCTGGCCACTGTTCGGTAAGATCTCTTAGACTTTCCATCGAATACGGATTGGATAATCTTTTGGTGGTTTTCTCTTTACTTTCAGCTTCGACATCCGTTGCTCGTTTGTGTTCTTCCTGCTGCTCAGCGCCGTTTGGTGCTCAGCCTATTTGTATTTGCGCGGAGCTAAAATGGATGAGGACGTGACCGGCATCTATGGATATAGCTTCATTTGCTTCAACACCCTGCTGGGACTCTACATCTTTGTGTTCCACTGCATCCAGAACGAGAAAATACGCCGAGAGTATCGCAAATATGTGCGACAGCACGCATGGCTGCCCAAGTGCCTGCGTTGCTCCAAGACCTCCATTTCCTCGGGCATAGGGGCAGGAGGTAGCACTGGCATTGGTGGCACCAACGCTGGCACCCTATGCAGCGTCTCGAATGCAAAGAAATCTAAGCTACCGTTGGGAGCCAGTGATGAGCCGCACGACGAGCAGCAGCAGCAGCATATACCGGCTACCGAGGACGCCATCATGGGCGCTGGTTCCGATTGTGAGCTCAGCGAAGCCCAGCAGAGACGTACATTAAAGAGCGGACTAATAACGGGAACACTGCAGCCATCCCAGACTCTTGGTGGTCATGTAGTGCTCGAGAGAGGGAATACTTTGCGCTCCACGGGCCATGCATCGCCAACCAGCTCGGCGGGATCTACGCACCTGATATTCGCCCACAAACAGCAGCAGCAACAGCCACCTTTGGCAGGAGAGGCCTACTACCACCAGCCGGACTACTACAGCTGGAAGCAGACGGCTGGCGGGATGAAGGCCCAACGGGAGTACTACAACAATGCTGGGGCAGCCACATCCTCGCCGCAGCAGGCCCATGAGGTGTTCTACTGGACGCAGAAGCCAAACAGCCAGCATGGCAAGAAGAAGAGGGGTGGCGGAGGAGCTATTCCGGCATCCCCAAGTGGTTCCCTGCACAGTCGGGCCACAGCCGCCTCCCAAGTGCTGTTCTATCCATCGTACAAGAAGACCAAGCCCGGACAACAAGCCTTTCCACACTATGCAGAGGCCCTGGACCCACCACAGCCACCCAACGCTGCTGCCTACTATCAACAGCAGCTGCGCCAACAACGGCAGCAACAGCAGCAGCAACTCTCCTCCGATGAGGAGCAGGCAGAGCAGCATGCTCATCTGCTGCACTTGCAGCATCAGCAACAAGCAGCAGCAGCAGCAACGACGAGTTGGTGGCCAGCCACAGCTGCCTGCTCCGCCGCCGCACATGGCGCAGTATCAGCAGGAGTTCATCCAGCGTCAATATAGAAATAAGCATTCCAACTGTGATCTGGGCGATGCCTACTACAATCAAGGCAGTGTCGGAGGAGCGGATGGCGGTCCTGTGTACGAGGAGATACTCAGTAATCGCAATTCGGATGCCCAGAACTACGAAGTGGGCGACTTTGATGTGGATGAGGTCTATAACAACAGCGTGGGCACCGGCGTATTTAACAACATGCGTGCGGCAGTGGCTGCTGGCGGGAGTCGCTATGGTGGCAGTCTAAGTGGAGGCAGTGTCTCATCGCGAAACCAACAGCAGCAGCAGCAACAGTCGTTGGCGCAGCCAATATCTAAGAGACGATGCACTGCCGACGAGGACGATGACGAGGATGAGGATGATGAGGAGACAACTGCCGCAGAGCAACTGCACGATGGCGCCTGTGATGAGGAGGAGGAAGATGATGAAAGCGATATGGAGGATGATGCGCACGGGTTGCCACCCCAAAGCGCTGAGCGAATGCGTCGATTAATGGCGCTACAGGATGAGGACTTTAAGCGGCGGTTTCAGTAAGTAACTAAAAGAAAGATTGCGTTCAGCGAACCTTCAATAAGTACATTTCAATCGCTCTTTTAGGCGTCAGCTGCGCAAGCATGGAGCGCCCGTTGATTATGGAACGCAACCACCCGGAACAGCGCAAGCAGCAATAGGAGGAGCGCACCCAGAACACAATGGTGCGGTTTTTGGGGTTAGCGGCGGCGTTGGTGAGGGCTCCATGCGGGGCGCGCTTAGGCAGCAGCAACAGCATGCCAAGTCACCGAGCGCCCGTTTGGCGGTAAACGAGCTATTTGGTCATGGCAACGCCGGACCACCGCTGCCACCGGCCAATCAGACGCCCGCACAGAAGCGTCAACAGCTTCAGAAACTATCACCGCAGTCCACAACGTCATCGTCGTCGCATACATCACACAGTAATCCCCATTCAAACCCTCATCCGCATCCCCCACAACATCAACAGCGTCATCTGTCGGCCATGCTGGATGAGAACAACACGGTGCGCTGCTACCTTGAGCCGCTGGCAAAGTAGAGTTGAGCAGCCGCCGGATACCCCGGAACAGTCTTAGGCAAAAATTGTAGCTTAGGGTCTCTAGCTATACCTAGTATTAGTCGTTAGTCGAAAATATGGAGCATTGTGTGAAACAACATGCTGTCATGCTATACGTGCAGTGATTCTAGAATCCCAAAACTTTATGAATGTATATGTAATAACTCAAATCTAGACGATAGGCCAACCACAGAAGACGACCCACATAGAAGACATAGACACACAGAAGCATAGAAGATCCCAACATGGAACCAATGCAAGCTTAAACCTAAATAGGAGGGATTTGATTTGATTTGTCTGTCCTTCGACTTGCATGCATTTTATACCAACTTGGAAATCAATCTATCATGATATATATTATAAATGTATGTACTGTATGTATAATGTATTGTAATACATGTCACCACATGCCATTTTAAGTAGATTATCAATAATATTAAACAAAACCCAAATATATATATGAATGTGTATGTATAAGATCTGAGAACTGTATATGTACATTATATATTGAGTGCTGGCGGACTATGTTTTATGTATTTTGTAAGGAATCAATTAATTGTTTATTTGATTTGCCGCTGATTATGACCGTAAGATATACATATATATATATAGCTATAGATACACGCAGGCTTAAGATTTGTTTCACGTTTCATTAACCAAAAAAAAAAAATGAGAAAGAGAAAAACTTGTTTTAAGTACTTTCATTTGAGGTGTATACTTTTTATAATTGTATTTTTGTACTATCCAACTGCCGCTTTGCACCTCTGAACCAAATATTCCTTCCAATTATGAAACAAATGTTAGGAAATGATTTCGAGCGGAATTCTAATACCGTTTTGTTGATGCATTTGTATTTTTCTTTTATGTTGTAAGCGAGCGAGCGAACGAACCAGAGCGAAGCATTTCAAGTGTACGTTTTCATCAATATAGATGCTTTAAGCACACATATGAGGGCATTTATTTTGTATTTTTTGAAGAGAACTCTTAATTGCTTTATTATTTATATAATACTATATATATACTGGAAGATTAATAAATCGAATGCTATGTAAATGACTTGGAAATTGAATGGCAGGCATACAGCGGGAAAACGAGAGACGGAGACATCATACAAAAGAATACCTATCTAGCAAAGAAAAGATTTCAACCAAACCTCACTTGTTAACTAGGAACTAACTGTAAAGCTCTTTGAAAATTAGCTAACTAACACCCACACACAAACAAACACACTCACACTTTAAACGGTACTATCAAGAAACACCTTCGCTCCCTAGAGAATTTCACGCATGTGTACAAAAAAAAACAAATAAAATAAAGTGCAAAACCAAAATATAACTTATATTACATATTATATGTATGTTGTATCTACCATGCTAAGGAGTCCCGATCCCCCCCAAGTAAGATCAACTTGCATGCAAAACTCGCAGCACTAAGAACAGTAAAATGTGTCCCTACTACAGAAATAAAGAAAAAAAATGAATATAATTTGAAAACTAATGGCACACACACATACAGGATAAAGATAGTTATTAAGCACCGCAGCATGCAAGTTTTATAAGCAAAACCAAATTAACGTAAATCAGCAGCTAACAACATAAAACTCAAATTAGTGTAAATGATTTCAAAACTAATGAAAGACGCGCAGGTCTGGTTGAAAACAAGCAAAGGCCACGAGAGAGAGACTCTAAATGAACCGAAAGAAAAGATATTGAATGTATTGCGCCTGCTAGTACTTAACTTATACTAAACAAGAATATATTGCAGATACAAAAATAAATATATATATATATGTGAGTGTACGTGTATGTATTTTGATTATCCACCAAAATGCAAAACAAACAAAAAACCAACTCTTTTTTGTCTCTACATCTCTACATGTTGACTTTATTCATGAAACCGGACTACAAAAAGATCCAAACGTTTAAAATAAACCAAACCAAGACATCTCAAGAACAACTGTATGGAAAAGCCCAAGAAAATGTACACAATTTTTTCTATTTAAGACCAATTAAAAACTATTTCATTTGAGTGTAAATGGAAAATCTGAGTTCTAATTCGTTTAGCGCGGGGAACTCAGTAGGGTGTTTTGTTTAATTTGTAGACCAAAAAGAGAGAAGAGAACAAAATTACGAACGTAAAGCCTGCCTTTGGTTTACTGGAAGGTTATTAAGTGGTTTAAATTTATGTGGTCCATTATTTGAATAATCCAGCCGTTTCTGCATTTCAAACATCGATAACAGCAATGTTTATCCCATTGATAGTTTCATTGTTTTTTCATTGATACCGATAACTGCGTTTCATTATTTCATTGATACCGATAACTGCGTTTCATTATTTCATTGATAGTTTCATTGTTTTTTCATTGATACCGATAACGATAGCTTCGATAGGAAATGCTCATTTTTGCGTTAAAAGTAAACCGAGAAAAAACGCAGATAAACGAAAATGACTGAATTCCAATGGCCCTGGGAGTACACATTCCCACCGTTCTTCACGTAAGCAATTGGCAAATACTTGAAGCATGCGTTAAAAGACTTCCCCGACAGTTTACAGCCCCACGAAGAAACCAGACAGCAGCAGCTGAAGGTCTGGACGGATCTCTTTCTCAAATACCTCAAGCATACGAATAAGTTTTCACTCAGCATCAACGAACAGAGCTTGCCACTATTCCACAATGAGTCAATTCAGCGACGCCTTTCGCCGGAGCTCATACTAGTGATACTGGAGGAACTGCAGCGGAGTGGGCATGCAGCTGCCTTGGACAAACGCCGCCAGGAGTGGCAAGTGTATTGGTACACTCTGGATGAGTATGGGAACATGGTGTACGATTGGATACAGGAGACGGGGCAGACCAACAGTATTTGCACACTGTACGAAATAGCTTCTGGCGAGAGCTCCACTCAAATGGATTTCCACGGCGTGGATGAGTCAGTGCTCCTAAGTGCACTACAACTGCTGGAAGAGAAGGGCCGATGTGAACTAATTGAGCTGGACGGCAGCCATGGTGTCAAATTCTTCTAATTGGTTTTGTTGCTTGGTATATGTGTTCTCTCCACTGTGGCTTTTAATATGAACTATTTACCATTATTCTTTATAAGTATCAATTGCCTAGTCGATGTAGCCCATATCCATCTTTATGAATGCCATATGTCACAGCAAGTACTTTTTAAAGCAAAAATAAAATTACTTTAAAAAAAGTTCCCAAATTCGAATCTTTTGCTACATGGTATTTACACAAGGATGAATTCGCCCACGGAGGCACCTGGTGGCTAAATCGAAAACACTCATCTGATAAGTAAAACAACAAGTTGGCAGTCCCTCGTTTGTGTTTGTTTTTTGTTGGAGGTTTTTGCGCAAAATAGCAAAAATGGTAAGGAATATCTCAGCAATTGGTTTAATTTATAATGTACATAGTTTGTTTTCCCCACAGAGCGTCGAGGATATGATACGGGATATGGATAGCTTGCACCTAGAAACGGTGTTTAAGCATGCAGCTATTGCTTCGCTCACATGCAAAGGACGCACATTGGGCCCCGACCGGGAACCATTTTGGGTGGAAGGGCAGAAGAAAAGGGAGGACGAAGGCACCACAAATGCCGAGGAAACTGTTGCTGAGAAAATTATTGTTTCGCCTAGCATCAGGGAGAAGGAACCGAGCTTGTCCTGCTTTCCAGATGCAGAGGAAATAAACGCAAGTATATTCAAGCGGGAAATGGCGGAGCAGTGCAGGCAGAGTGTGCGTAAGCAGATTCAAGAATTAAAGGAGCGGCAACAAAGCCTGCAGATACAGCGCGATGCCCGTCAGAAGGAAGACGAGCTGCAAACGGAGCGTCTAGCCCAAAAAGCATTACGAGAGCAGAATGAGAATCTAATCAATCAGCAGGCGGAACAGCTGGCCCAGGTGCAGCTGGAGGCACAGCAGCGGCAACAGCTAGACCTGCGCAAGATAACTGATCAAAAGTTGCATAAACTGGCCCTGGAGGGCGTGTCACGATGCCAAAGAAGATTCGGCAACAAGTACGAGGGAATCATAAAGCTGTTGCTGTCATTGGACAAGGAGACGGTCCAGGTCTGTGCCGCCCAAAATCAGCAACTCAAGGAGCTGGGTGAAAAGTTTGATCAACTGGTTTGCGCTGTGAAAATGGGAAACTGCGAACAAAGTCAATATTTAAGCTCAATCATTAGGGCCGAGCAATATTGCAAAAGCTTAGACGACTTGGAAGGTGAAATGATTAAAGAACTGGCGGAATTCTCTGAGCTAATCCAGCAGCAGATTAAAAGGGAAGCTGCACAGCGTTTGGAGGAAGAGAAACAGAGAAAATTGGAGGAAGAAAAGAAGAGGTTTGAAGAACAGACGCAGAGACAGAAGGAAAAGGACGAGTCAGAAGCTCAGCAAAGGCAGCAATTGGCAGAAGAGGCTGCCAAGGCTGAAGCTGCCAAGGTTGAAGCTACCACGGCTGAAGCTGCCAAGGCCGAAACCGTCCAGGCTACACCACCCCCTGAGCCAAGTACCGTTAATGTTTCGCCGGCAGAAGGCAACATATCTGGCGCCTATGTCCACCCATCCCGACTAGCATTCTACAATGAAATCATTTCCCTCTATCAAGCCAAAGTAGATGCAGTAAAGCCCCTGCAGTCCGAGGAGTCATTGAAGCAGTATCGCACTGGTTGCCAAAGGGCAATAAACTTGCCCCTGAACGCCATCACGGCGGTCAGTCCGCAGCATCTAAGCAACAATTTTGAAAAACTTTACAACTTCTTTGCCGGCCAGCCCGTTAGAGTAATGAATGATGCCACCATTACCATCAATGATCATCCATTGGCTCGTGACTATTGCATGCTCTTGATGGCCAAGAAGTTCGTCAGTCAATCGGAGACGGCGATTTCTGGTAATCCCCAAGCGGCTTTTCCGTTTGCATCGGTTATTATGACCTTCTGGAAGTTGCTGCCGGATTTCGGAAAGGTTTTCCTAGCCTATCTATACAAAGAATCACCATATATGGTGCCCTATGTGATACCACAGCAGCCGGGACAGACAGCAGAACAATATCTAAAATCCATGGGCTATCGGCTGTCGGACAAAAACGAGCTGGAGAAGCCTGACATGTTTCTCAAGCGCCAAACTGGAATCGCCCGTCTCTACGCTGCTGTGATTATTACGCCTGGACGAAAAGCGGACGGGCCTGCGCACTGTTTCGGTCTGGAGGAGGGCTGGCGTTGGTTGGCTCATGTGGTGCATGTGAAACCGTTGCCAGACATCAGCGCCACCCTGATCATGGAGATACTTCAGACACTGGGCTATGAGTTGTGGCGCACCTATGGCAAGCAGTTCCTCAAGCTCTTGCTCTACATTCACATTTCCTATATGCCCCAGCTGGCCATCTACGATGAGGGCGGACCAAAGACGCGACTGGAAATGCTCTTGGGCAAGTTCCTGCGCGAGCGCCAGATTCCACAGGCGGTTGGTCTTTTGCCTCCTGGCTTTTGGTAGTTTTTAAATTGATCCATTTTTAAAAACTTTAATTATATAGATATATTTTTAACATAACGAGTAGTAAAGTTTGTAATTTTACCTACTATTTGGAATTACTTGTGGCAAATGAGAAAGAAGGCTGGCATTATCCAGATAAAATAGTAAATAGATTTTCAGAAATGCAACATTTGAAAGCTACGGTTTTATTGATCATAAAGTAGCTAAAGGCAGAAATCTCTATATGAACGCGTTGGGATTTGACAAATCAAAATCAAAAGAATTGAACTGAGCAAGCCTAGTCATCTTCATCATCATCTAGATCCAAGTCATCCAGTTCGCCGGCCAAATCAACAAAGAGATCTTTGTTGATGGGAGCAGCATCGTTGGCGGGTGCAGACGATGATGGGTTCTCATCATCGTCCTCAGAAGCCGCTCCATCCTCGGCTGCTGCAGTTTTGGCTGCTTCCGTTGCTTGATCCAGTAGCCTGGTGCTAGATGCTATGGTACCAGAACCATCCACCTCCTTGGCAGCCAGTGAAAGGGCAGCCAGATCGAGTTCCTTGAACTCAAAGGCATTGTCATCATCGTCGTCCTCACGTTTGTAGACATCAAAGGCCTCGCCCTCCTCGATGGGTCCGTCGTCCACGAGGTCCGGATTAAAGCTGAACATTTCACGACCAGAGATACCAAACTGTTTGCCCTTGCTAAAGTCGCTCTTCTTGCGCTCCTCATCAGCAACCATCTTGGCTTTCTTCTCCTGCAGCTTGCGTTTCTTCCAGGACAGGAAGGTTTCCAGCGTAACTCGCGTTTGGTTGGAGCCCAGAGCAGCGCGTTCCTTCTCGATCAGATCGACCAGCGAAATTTCGGTGGGCTTATCCTCCTTCTTCTTGTCTCGTTTCAGCACGTAACCAGCGGGCAAGGCGTGACGATAGATGCACTTCTCTCCGTTGGGACATTCCCAGAACCAACCGTACTTGGACTTTTCCACAGCTTCCAGGAAGTACTTGCAAATCTGTCAGGGAATAAGTATATTTAGTCTTTGACAATGAGCAGGCCGTAACTTGACTTACGATCTCAGTTGTGGGTCGTCGCTTCTCTTCAGCATGCTTCTTATCCACAACTTCCTTGAGCTTGGCATCATCCCAGTTGGTCATGAGGTCATCTTCGTTGTCGCGCATATCAACATACATGGAGCGCTTCTCCACCTTGTTCTCCAGGGACAGGTCGTGGGAGAATTTACACCTATCTCCCTTGGTGCAGAGTCCCTGCTTGAAGAACGCACACACCACCGACTTGGGATCGGTGCCCTTTTCCACCTTTTGCGTCTGCACCGGCTTGAAGATCAATGCCATCTCACGCTGATCGGCCAATTTCTTTTCCTTCTCATCTTTCTTTTTGTCGCCTTCCTGACGTGGATGATGGCCGCCGGCCTGAACCTGCTTCTGCACCTGCTGGATGAACTTTTGCTGCTTGGTGCCCTTCTTGTTCTTCAAGCCAAAGGTCTTGTCCTACCGATAAATAGTCATAAATCAATATCTCCGTAGAGCTATTATGCCACATCGTGGTTCGAAATCTTTGAACATCAATTATTCGGCCAAAGAAAGTCTGGCAGCAGTCCTTTTCGAACTCTAGCATACCTCAATGACTTTCTCCTTCTTCTTCTGTTCCGTTTTTTTGCTGGGACCCGCCGGCGCTTTCTTCGGCGGCATCTTATTGGCCGGTTTTGTAAATTAAAACAACCGAAAAATTAGAAAAATTCAACTAAATAAATTTTGCACCAACCACGCTGGAACTAGAGCTGGGAAATAACCTATTAAATAGAGGTGTCAAACCATCGAGGGCACTATCGATATTTTGCTGATGGCCTCTACTATCGATGGTTTTGAGACTATCATGATAGTATCGAGCTACAGTCGTTGCGCTTTTGATATGTTTGGATTGGCTGCTATAAAATACGAAGACACATTTGTAAACAAATCGACAGCTGCAACTTATTTTTACAATTTTTTTAATAATTATTTCAGCCCGATACTATCACGATAGTATCGATTGTTTTTTCAAAACATTCGACGTTGATATTCCTCGATATTGATATTCCGTTTAATATTACTAGCTAGCTGGGACTCTTAGCCCTAAACAAATAATTTTATCCGATAGATACATAAATTTTTTAAGAGATTGGCAAGTTTTCAGAAGTCCTTTTTATTGGATTATTTACATATTAAGGTTCAAACAAAAACAGCATAAAACGAATTTGTCGTCGTTTTGTGGCGTTGCCAGACTCGTGCAATTCGTAGTTGCTGCGGGCTGCCATACCGTGATATTTTGTGATATGAAATTCGTCAATTTTGATATTCAGTTTAATATTACTATATAGATGGCCCTCTCAGCACTAAAAAAATAATTTTATCCAATTCCTCAATGAATTTTGTTTAGGATTGGCTAGTTTTCAGAACTATTTTTCATTAAATTGTTTACATATTAAGGTTCAAACAAAAGCGGCCAAAGCATAAAACGTAAATGTTGACTAAATGTGACGTCAGTGTTGCAGGTCAACCAAGTATCTTCTATGCGTATGTACTTTTGTATACCTTATTTCTTTTAATTGGTGTTAAATGTTTTGTTCCAAGCTCCATTGAAACATTATTTATGATTTTATCCTAGATTGACATGTTTTTTACATATTAATGCACATGTTTGTGTGTTATAAATACATTTATCCCGGTTCTGATACCTATTATTGGTACCCGTGAGCTACAAAATTTCGTTTATGTCTTTACAAAAGAGACTGGCTAGTTTCGGCATTAATTGGAGCCTGAAATTACAAACAGTATCTCAAGTCCATAATATCTATTTTCCTAAGGTATTCAGACTTGTTGCTCATTCCGTGCCAAAGTTGCACAACAATGCTGCTACTTCATTTCCCCATGTTGCTGGAATTTTTCCCATACAAATCAAATGTATCATACGGGAACGCGTATGGAATCGCAACAATGAATCTTCATTCCATACGCGTTCCCGTTAAGAACATGTTTCTCCACGAAAATGAGGGGAGTCACCACAAAAATGCTCTCTTCACCACTGAAAAGAGAGCAAATTTTAAAAACCCACCACGAATTGAGAGCGAATTTTGAAAAACCACCACGATTTGGGAGCGAATAATATCGATATTTTTGTGCGCTAAATGAGATTGGCGGTCATTTTCAAATGTACATATATGGAAAAATAAATATTTCACTTGATTTGTTTTGTCGAGTGGGACTGGAACCTCAGAAACCGAGAGCGGTTTTGAGCCAAGCAAAAGGTTAAGAATAAAATGTAATTTTAAAAGCATAAATATACTATAGGATGTTCAGCCGAGCTTGGATACTTATTTTAGATAAATAAAGACGTACCAGCAGAAACCAGTGGGTTCTGGATTAATAAAAGAAAACAATGGATCTCAAAACCAAAACATGTGTTTTTTTCGATTTCGATTTAACTGATTCTGTGAAAATCGGCGACCTGCCAACCTGTTTGTTCGTCAAGGAGACTGCTAACGCCAGATGTGTTTTATAGGTTATGCTGAAGTTGGGCGCCAGAATTGAAATATTTGACATGGATTTCGTAATTTATGCTTTGAATTTTTAAATTATTTTAGACAACTATTGCTTGGAAATAAAGGCTTGTTTTGTCTTGGAGTTCCCCCATTTATTTATTTATTTATTATGCATGCCCTGCCCCTGCCCACAAACATCTGTTTTATTATTATTTCGTGTGGATAGTATATGCATACCATACCCACTTCAGGGAACAGCACACCACCGCAACACATGTTCAAGTTGTACATATTTCAATTATCTGCTGCGGGTCTCGTCTCCTGTCCCCTCCACAGCCAATGCTGAAATTGTTTTCAAAGGTCTGTCTTTTAACTCAAACACACCACACACACACGAACACACAGAGACGCAGCGACATGGCTCTTGCTCTTGCTCTCCGCTCTACGTCGTGGGTGGCCTTTGATTCGTCGTCATCGTCATGGGTGGTCTATTAGCCCGCTCTGCCTCTGCTCTCGATATGCCCGCGTATATGTATGCTCTCGGTCGGTCGGTCGGTCGGTCGGTCGGTTGGTTGTTGTTGGCTGCCCCCATTGATCATTCTCTCATTTGATAGTGCGTGACGTTTTAATGTTGCTCTTTCACTCGCACTAATTTATGCCGCCGATTCCGGTGGCAGGGCGCCCCATTTTGATCCTTCTTTACTCTTGGGGCACACTCAATCTCATTTATTCGAGCATAAAATTAGCAATTATTTGTTTTTCTCCCCCCTACTCTCGCTGCCCACTTGTTTTTATTTGCCTTTTAAGTGTGCTTGTGTGTGCTCCTGGTCCCTGGGCCTGGACGAGCATTGTGTGTGGTCGGGTCGGATCCGGGCGGATCGTTTCTCCCATGATATGGGGGTATTATTTGTTTTTTAGCTTTAATTCGAGCGAATCTTTTTAGTTTCCTTCTTCGTTTACTTCTTCTTGGGTTTCTAGGAACTATTGTTGTGTGCAAAAAGTTCATAAACTTTAAGTTTACTTTTATGGTTCCGCAGAAAACGAAAATTAAATTAGTTTTAATGGCTTGCACATGGAATATTGCCTAGTCCTTGAGCCCCTGTGTGGCTCCGCTAGGCACGTTGCACTGTACGACAATTTAAAAGGTTGCCCCGCGGCGGCAATCAAATTATGACAAGCAACGGCAGCAACATCGAATGTTACCAACAATTATTCCGATGTTGACAGCAAGATAGATAGCAATAATTTGCATCACCATCAAGAGAGGCGGCAGCAGAAGCAGCAGCAGTAACAAGAAACAAGAATCAAAGAAGAGCAACTAGAGCGGCCATTCTTGACGAGAGCCATAGTCGCCACTCCGACTATAAGATACCCGCTACACAGATTTATACTCGTAGGTCCCTACATCTCTATAAGGGCTCAAACTATCCACAGTTTATTGCCTGACCTGAGGTTTTGACTGGGAAGCTGAGTTCCCATAAGCTACATGCTGTAAAACTTTATTCTGGCTGCTATGACACTAATAATAAAAAGTCAAAGCAGCATTACCTGCCCCTGCCCCCGCC